ATATATGTTATATGAGGGCCATGCTCTCTCAGCAGAATTTTATTCAGAAAGACAAAATGAACCTACTACCTCAAATAAAAATAAGAGTTTTCAAGTCATATGTAAGACTAGAAGACACTATCAGATCACCTAAACTGATTCTATGCAATGTGTGCTCCTCAACAGCTGTTCATCTGCTAGACAGTGAAATGTTCTCTGCTCTTTCTACACACACACAAATACACCTGCAGTGGCTAAAGCTACTGCCAAAACTCAGTCCCCACCTGCTGTCAGTGCTTGCCCGCCAACACGGTGAAGAGATGCTAGTCCGTATGTCATATTAATATTATCTTCATTATTAAACTAAAAAATTAGCTATTTTTGCAACTTTAGCATAATTTTATTTTTGTTCACAAAATCATAAATAATTTATTTGCCCCAGCCTTTCTCCAAATGACAAAAAGCTGCAGACCTTAGAATTTTTTTTCCAAAAACAATGCTCAAGTGTTTTTTCAGCAAAACAGACTGGAGTGCTTTGAACAAGTCTTCTTTTATAGCACAAGCCAGACTATTTTACCCATTTTCCCTGTGCTCAAAAACTGCATTTCACCAAAACTCTGTTTAAAAATACCAGGATATGAAAAATCTACATTTCTTTGAATATGAAAGCCTGTCAGCAAAGGCTGAGAGTAACTAGCACACCAAGTATAACCACCAGAGCTTCAATTTAAAAGCAATGAAACCCTGAAGCTCACTATTACACTAAGAAGTCTACAGTCTTCCCATTTGTCACAAAACTACATCCAGTAAAGGTGCCTGGTGTTGGCTGCTGGAGAGAATATTCAAGTGAAATAAGGTAGTGTGACAGAGAGGCTCGTTCGTTCTGAGTAGGGGGAGAAATACCTTCCTACTTCACTTGTCACATCTTATTTTAGATTTACAGAACCAAGCAGAGATTGAAATTGATTTCCAATTGTATTTCTAAAAGAAAGGCAAATTCAGACACTCACTTGTTGTGCTGAAACATTTCACGTGCTACTTTTGCTTCAACACTCAGTGTTTCAAATGGCAGGTCTTTAAGAATTAGCTTGCTGGCATCCCTTGTAAGAGAACGGAAGTTGTCCTAAAAAAAAGTTGATACATATAAAACTGTCAGCACTGTCTCAGAGCTGTAGTATATAGCCAAAGCATAGGAAGCACTAAATATTAGTCAATACAACAAGGATTATCTATTATAAACCCTAAATACAAGAATATTGGTGCAGGACTGTATTTATCAGCAACACATTATCACTGCTTAAACGGACTGATTCAGTGCCCAGCCAGACCAATAGGCATTTTTCCATCAGAAGCAATATATATTAATGGGTGTTAACCTTCTCAGTTTTCCTAGCATGACAAACACACGTGCAGCCTTGCTACTGTTAAATATTCACCTGTGTATCTTGTTTCCCAGAGTTGTGACTCCACTTATAAATGACCTCTACTGTGATGGTATCAAAGGGAAAAAAAGTACTGAACAATTAATAAATAGAAATTGATCACCTTGGTGCAGAATCCAAAGCTCTGCATACTCAGATTCAGTGATAAACTAAGAAACTGCTATTAAAAAAAATTACATTCATAATGTCATGCGGAAAATATTTTAAGTTACTTCAACTACAAGATCATACTAAAGAAAAATTCTGCATTGCACCAAAATTGCTTTGTAAGCCATATGCACCTCTGCTGATATTTGGGCATAACAAGGACAGGCACCAGGTGAGCAAAACATTAGTGATCACACCAGCTACCAAATAGTTATGAGACTTAGAGGTTTTAGATAATTGTATTTACTGAAGAACATGAAATATAAAAAAGCTATTAAGGAGAGCTTCAGCTGAATATGCTCACTGTTCTTTTATAACAACAAACTGATCTTGCTGTAAACCACCAGGTTAAAATACACACAATTTTATTTCAAAGGGCCTTACTTGCACAAAGACTGTGGTTGCATCTACATTAGTGGGCAAGGGCAGCTGAGTCAGAGCAGATCTGTGTAACAACAAAGATGGCACCAAGGTCCCAACAGCCACAACAATTGGCTTTAGAATTGCTTTGGACTAGAACTTACTCGAGCCCCACAGACCTAAAACCAGCAAGCATCTGGAGGACAGCTCAAGGTTTAATTTCATCTGAAAGGAACCCACTCTGTGTGCCGAGAGCACTCTGCAAGGAGAGCCAGTACGTGGTATATATGGAGGTTAGTTTCCAAAGAGTACTCCTGACCTAAAAAAACCCACTGGTGCAGATATACCTGGCAAAAAGAAAAAAAAACACCTCACTGCCCCTTCTGCCCCATTAAAAAAGAATCACTGGACAAGGATGCAAGCTATATCACTTTTCAGGCAAGAAGTTATTCTGCTTACATTTGTTGGTTTCCAGTCATTCAGTCTACTGTCCAAAATTATGTCATAACAGAAAGCTCCAGAGATCACTGCAATTGGAATTCCAAAGAGAAAAATACTAGTGTTTGTTATGAAGTACATATTTCATTATCATAATATATTCTTATAGATTTATCAAAATGAATGAGAAGAAAAACAGAATTATAAAATATCATAAATAAAAGTCTTCAGTTGTGATTATGCAGTCAAATGGAAGATTAAACCTGTATCATTTTCATTTCATTTCACTGAATGAGTAGGTCATTTGAAAGGAGTTTTAATGTAATGTTGGTACAATAAAATCCCATAAAAGAGAGAAAAAAAAAAAGTTATACTGCCTCCCAAAACCTCATCTAACACTGAAAGAAAGCGCCTCACTTTTAAAGTTTTTTTTTAACATTTCACTTTTTTTCTCTGTACGTGTGATACACTACAAGTAAATCTGCACTACTAAATTGTAAAGAGGAATTTATTACACAGGTATCAGGCAATAGTAGAGCCAAAGTAAAATGCTTATCCACAACACAAGCATGGTACAAACTTCTGATAAAGGCAACAGAAACTTCTGTGATAGCTGTTAGAACACTCTTTGTGTATATTTATTCTGTTATTGCCATCTTAGAAATCAAGCTTATGAACCCAGTAAATTCACACCATTTCCATACATACAGTACAAGGAAATGGCTTAGCATAAGCAAGACTATTCAAAATCCTGGTGGAATTGAAATGTCCACTCTGCGCCTACCAATCAAGACAAATGCTGAAATGGCTAAAAAGGGAATCAGTTGTTGAAGGACTCCAAATAACCAGCAACCAGCCTTCTTATCATGTATGATCACATAGGTTTTGTTATTTAAATAACCTCCTCTCATGTATCTTCTCACTTTTGTAGATCTTAAATCATGTCTCAGATGAGCAAAAGTTGTTACTAACCCTGTTTGTACTTCAGTAATCTTTCAACCTGATGTATTCATTGTAACTTTTAGCAACTCAAGTGCTCACAAGGTTATGTGGTTATTAGAGCAAATTTCACAGAAATATATCACATCTTCTAAATACCTTACTCATATAACTTCACAATAAAAAGTTTATGTTCTTAAGTTCCTAATTTAACCTGTGAAATCCTAAGCGGGCAGAAACCCAGTTGCCACACAGATCAATTTTCTGTACTTTGGTAACAAAATTGTTTTCAGTGTGGTTGTCGTAAATTAAAGGCTACAACAACAGCATGAATACACACATCAGTGCTAAGTACCTTCAATCTTTGGCAACGCTAACAGACACTCACTTAAGAAGCAGCAAAAGACAAGAGTATCAAGGTAAAACACTTGTATCACCTGGCACTTCTGGAGCTTTAAGCAGACTCACTGAGTACTCATCCTTGAAAGCTCGCTTTAACACACAAGCCATCATCATGGCACATGAGCGCCAGTAGGCCTGTAGAGAGAATTCAAAAACACACATTTAATATCTAGAACCTAACAACACATAACAGATGAATTTCAGCCAATATTCCAAATATTTTGGAATTCTTTTATTCCGAAAGAATACCAACATTTAACTGAACGACGCACAAATCTTGCTGTCAACCCAAGCATGACTTTCTTTAGTATTTAAACTTCTATTTGGAGATGATTCTCCATATAGAAACTAACAGACAAAAAAAAAACTACAACTGCACTTCAAATACAACTCAGATGTTTCCCCGAAGATATTTAAGTCTGAAATAATAGAATGATACAAAAAAAGGGATGCTCACACATTACTTAGGCCACCCTGGTCATCACAACTATGATGTACCAACCAACTATTAAAAATATCTGAACTTTCATAACAACCAAGTTCAAGAACACAGATGGACATGGAACTGCAAGGGGCATATGGAATCAAGTGATCACAATCGGGGTCATCTACAATGGGTTAAGATACAGACTCACCTTGTTTACCTCCTCTGGATCTTCATCTTTGAAAGTAAGGAACTGAATTTCACATGATTTGGTCAAGGGTCTGTACATGTCCCAGACTTCGCCATCCACAAGAGCTAGAACGGATTTCTTGCAATGCCATTCACTTAAGTCTAAAGAAAGTTAAAAAATAATTACACAGTTATTATCCATATTCTTCAGAGTCAGCAGTTTAGACCCCTGTATTTGCAAGAACAAACTGCAGGTTTCATTTTTATAAATGATTTGGAAGGATAAGCTCTTAACAGAGCCTCCAAAAATTAGTTCAGTTTCTGTTGACATATTTTAGCACAAGTGTATTTTAAACTTACTGAACTCAAATATTCTGAAGAAAGGTCTGTTATCAGTAAAACCTCAAAAATACTAACATTTCAAATTGAGATGACAAGTACTTCAACTGGCAGTACAACTTTCACCACCAACGGCACAACACTACTTTAAGAGTCTGTTCACTTACGCATGGCACAATTGTAGGGAGTAGACAAAGCTTTGTTCATGACAAACACGCTGCCAGGGTGCGATTTCCCAGTATATTTTACTTCGATTTTCTCAATTCGTGGATAAAGAGACGACTGCCTCTCTTTCTCTTTGGTGAAGAGCTCATTACGCATCTGAATCACCTCCTCTGATGTCAGTCGAGGAACAGCCGGTGTGGAGAGGAACCCTGGTAAAAGGAACGGTCGAAAATGAGCGATGAGGAGTCTTCGGGCCTCTCCACGAGACGCGGTTTCTAAGGCCAGGCGGGCATGCCCCGGCACTGCTAAGCCGCGCCTCTGTCCCGAGGCGTCCACAGCTCTCGCTGCCCGCGCGGTCCCGCTCCCTGCGGCGCCTGCCCGGAGCCACAACACAAGC